CCACACTCAGTAAATACATGCAGACGCTCCGGAACACCACTAACACATGCATGTCCTCACACACCCTCGCACACTGAAGGCGCCCACGGACTCACCCACACCCACGTGCTCACTCTCAGGCACACTGACCCCACTCCCTCAGCTCACATTTCTCATCCTCATACTCCACACACTCAAGCACTTTACGGGCTAAAGTGTGCCTGTCCCCAGCTTCACATACACTCAGAACCTCAGAATATGATCTTATTTAATGAGGTCTCTGGAGACGTCATTAAGGTAAGAATTTAGGTAGCATCATGTTGGATTAGAGTCAGACGAGCTCAAGGAAAGAGTCCTTTCAGAGACAGAAAAGGACACGCAGAACACAGGGGCAGGGGCCACGTGACGACGCAGGCAGAGACTCCAGGCCAAGGAGCCTGGAGCTCCCAGAAGCTGGACGAGGTAAGGAAGGGTCCTCCCCTAGAACCTGTGGAGGGGGCACGGCCCGGTCCACACCTGGATTTGGGACTTCTGGTCTCCAGAACTCTGGGAGAACAAATTTGCTGTTTCGAGCCAGTGTTATAGGTGGAATCCAGAATTGCAAAATTCACATGTTGAAGCTCTAACGCCTGCAGTACCTCGGAAGGTGACCCTGTTTGGAAACAGGGCCGCTGCAGGTGTAACGGGTTTGATGAGGTTGAACGCTGCCCTTACGCAAAGGGGAGATTTGGAGGCGACTCACACACAAGGAGAACGCCAGGTGAAGGTGACGGCCGGGGTCGGGGGGACACTTCTACAAGCAAAGGAATGCCAAAGAGACCAGCAAACACCAGAAGCCAGGGCAATGCCCTGGAGCAGCTTCTCCCTCACAGCCCCGAGAAGGAACCACCCTCGATCTCAGCCTTCCAGCCTGCAGAACCATGAGAACTTCTGCTGTGTGAGCCCTCGAGTTTGTAGACCTTTTCACAGCAGCCACAGGAGACGCATCCACACACACCCACACGCACCCACATGCACAACCAGACACCACTCCCTGGGCCCTCAGTCTCTCATTCCATACATGTCTTGTCCGTGGTTCCGCTTTCCACTAACATTCGCAGCAGGCCACATAAAGTCTTGGTGGCTTCGCTCTGCATGAGCTCAGCATGAACTCCGGCAGAGAGACAGAGAGTCTGCAGTAAGTTAATGGTGCTGGTAAACATCACTGCCGTGGGGTGAATGTTCCTTTCCGTTTGTTCGGCTTCTAAAGAAAATAATCAAAATAACAAATTATATTCCCAGGTAAAACTGGAAGACAGTCTTGCACATAATTTAACAGCTTTAATATTACATTCTTGTTTTCCTGCAGACTCGAATTTTGGAGCAGTTTTAGGTTCACAGGAAAATTTCAAGTACAGACATTTTCTCATTCTTTTCTTCTTTCAGACAGGATCTCTCTGTCATTCAGGCTCGAGCGCAGTGGCGTGATCACAGCTCACTGCAGCTTTGGCCTCCCAGGGTCACACAGTCCTCCCACCCTGGCCTCCCAAACCGTCAACTTTTCCACTTTGGAAAGGGAAACAGATCCTTACAAGAGGAAGAGATGGAACTCAGGATGCACTAAACGTGCACCATCATCATTTCTGTTCACATTTTCCTCAAGAACCTTCTAAATAATAATTTTTAAATCAGCATTGGCATATAACTCAGAAGCATTAAATGATTCCAAGGCGTCGCTTCTTAAGAAAGACCGTTTATCAGATGTCAGAAGCTGGTTTCTGATGAGCTAGCTACGGCCCGGGTGAGGACAGAGCACTGGCATCTATGGAATGGGACGACCAGGTGCTCACACTTCCAGCTTGGCTGGCTTCAGGATGAGGAGATGTGTGGCAAATGAGGCCACCCTCTGTCATGGGGCCACCCCTGCCCAAGCTCTGATGCCCCTACGGGGCAAGACCCCAGGCAGGGAGCCAGGTCTGCTTCCCGAAGGCAAGGGGGTCCGAGGGAGGGAGCAGCACCTGGTGTCACGCAGCACGCTGGAGGCTGGACGCTGGTGGCCAGCACCACATCCACCCTCAGGGACAGGGTTCCAGGTGCCACGTGCATGGCTCCTAACAGCCCTACGCAGCAGGCAACACCTCTGTTCACACCTGAGGGGCCCCAGCCCCAGAAGCGATGTGCCCAAGGTGGTGGCGTCAGGATCCGAGCTATGTGCCCCAAGCCCAGACGGTGCGCTGCGGCCTGGTTTCTTCCAGCTGCTCTCCAGTGAGTGCGCCGTCTAAGGTCTTGTGCTCACTGTCACAGTCCTCCTGAGCCTGACAAGACTGCACCACGGTGTGCACCGCAGTGCCAGGAGGCAGCCCCAGCCTCTCGGATGGTCTTACCAAGCCCAGCCATGTGAGGCATCACACGTCTTTCAAGAACAGCCAAGAAATGTCATGAAGCCTCCCTCCCACAACCTTGGACCTCCTCAGGTAGGACTGAGCTTTCTTAGCCCGCCCCTCAATTCTCACCTCTGCTTCCCTGGCAGCGATGAAGTGCTAACTCAACATTACATGAAGAGTTCAGAGTCAAGGGCTGCAGAGGAAAGGTAAGGGCAGGGGACAGGCGGGGTGTGCTTGGGCAGAGGCTCTCATGGGAGGAGGAGGCAGATGGACCAAGACCACAGGGCAACTCCACCAAGCCTCAGCTCACTCCCTCAGACGCAGGCTCAGTGAGAACCACGAGACCCCCTGGTGGTGCCGCTGCCTGGCCCGGCCACCCCATTTTCAAAGAGGGACGGCTGCACGAGTGAGAGGAGGACGCAGAAAGTCGGGTACAGCCAGGCCGCTGGACCCCACGGCCACTCCACGCAGCCGCATCGGAGGTGCCTGGGAGTTACCACGGACAGAGTGCCAGCTGCAGGCGTGTCCCGACATCCCCCTCTAACGCCCAGATGACAGTGGCAGCAGCCAGCACCTGGACAGTCTGTGGGCTGCCTTGGCTGAACCACCTCCCTGAGTCACCCACCAGAGTCGTCCTCTGTGTCCGAGTCCTCTGCTGAGGGCTGTGCCGCGGCCGGCAGCTCTGCCAGCTTGAGGTCGTATTTTCCTTCTTTCCCCATCCTGTAGGAGTTGGTGCTGCCCGTGTCCCACTGGACCCTTATCCATCCGTCCTCTCCCAGCTCACCAATCACTCGGCCTAGGCCTGGAGGAGGTCCGTCCTGAGAAAGTCAGAGGAAACATCAGTTAGGAGGGGGTGTGTCTGCCCTGGTCCTTCCGATTTCCACCAGACCTGCCACACCGGTACCGCCATCTGCTGCCCTGTCTGTAAGGGCTGTCCCCACACACACATTTCACCTCTCCTACAAAATGCAGCACGTCTGCATCATTTCAAATTAAATGGCATGAAATAACGTGCTCATGCTCCTTTACCAAAGAAGGTGGGGAAATCTCATCTCAATTAGGATCCTCTCTGAGTCAGTGCAGAGACAGGGCTTTGCAGCAAGTCCTGAGCCCTCAATCCCTCACGGCCCTCGCCAGGGTGGAAACCTGAAACCAGCACCAGCACCTCCACAGTCCCTCTTCTTCAGCTCCCCGCAAGCCCCAGAGTGGAAGCCCTGTCTCTCATTTCTGCAGGAGAAAGCTGTTTCTAAGATGGATGCTGCTGTCTCCAGACACTGCCATTTCTACGACAGCCGTGACAAAGCCCAGGCTTTCCCATGTGGGGGGGAAGCTAGACAGCCCACGGGACAGTGAGCCCTGCCCTGACTTAGCTAGGGCTGTGGTAAGTGACTTCCACCTGGGGTCACCTGGCAGGGATTTAGAAGAGACCTGCTATGAGGGAAAATGGAGACGTGGCCACAAGCCCTGAAGTCTATCCCAAACAACTGGATTCGGGGTACTTCGCAGCCCACGGGCACTGGCCCACAGAGGCAGCATCTGGGCTTCCTGCCTCGGAGCTGTCACTACACTGACCTTCAGAATGAGATGTACCCTCTTACTCACTCTCACTCTTGTTCCAGCTACCCATCAAACTGAGCCTCTTGCCACTGAGTTTTCTGAAGAGCTGCCTCTCTTTCTAGACTTCATTCTGCTCAGATGCCCTACAGCAGGCATGATTACTCCCTACTTGTGTTAACTCTCTTCAGCTGCTCAGGAATCAAGACCCGTATCATCCATCCATCGTACACGTCCTGGGTTATTCCAATTTCCACCCATCAGTATCGTACAGAACAGTGCAGACGACAAGTAACGTGTGGCTAAAGTGTTCACATCAAATCTCTGAGTACCTGATCGCCCCATTTCCAGTCCACACCTCTCATGACCCTTGTTCCGATCTTCATCATGGCAGCCAGTTCTGGCCCTGAAACAGGGAGCTGCACAGGAGCTGTTTCCTTCCTTGTTTCTTCCAAAACTGTGGCAGAAGCACCTTGAGCAGAAGCATTTATATCCTCCTCAACATTGTCACAACTGGGACCTGACAAAGCGTCAAAAACAGCAGCTGAGCCAACAGGTAGCTACAATGTCCCCTTCCTAATATACATGCAACATTTAAAAAGTACTAATGACGATCATAATTTTAAAGAATCCATACTATATGTTTTATCAACTAATACAATACTGTGAATATTTTACTGTGATATACGATAAAAAGAAAGTAAAAGGAAGGACAAAATACTAAATATATTAAGAAGATATAAAAGATATTAAAATGCTCAGAAAAGCTACTTTCTCTATTTCTAGGAAGGACTCCCCCTAAAAAAGCAACATAAATGAGTTAGAAAGATACTCATCATATTTTTTATTAATAGAAAAACAAAAATAACTACCTAAATATCTAACAGTGGGAAATTATCAAACTTTAATCGTGGTTCTGTGCAGAAGACAGCTAACAGCTGGCCTGAGACACAACCTCAGACAGGACTGCAGCAGGCGCGGCCCTCAGCTGGAGTCTGGATTTCCGGAGGGCTCCCCCATTCCCTAAGTGGTAGGTGCGGTTCACTGTGCCTGAACTGGCTGTACAAACAACGTGGTCTGTGCCGAAACCTGCTTTCCTTGGTCTGGAACTTGGTACGCGCCGGGCAGGGGGTGCCCATGTGATCAGCCCGGATAGAAACCCTGGGCCTGGAGTCTCTACCCAGCTTCCTGGCAGACAGCCCTTGACACAGCTCAGTGCCGGGGGAGCGAAGCTTGTCCTGTGTGGCTCCTGTGGAAACTTGTACCTGCTTTCTTCTGGACTTTACCCATGTCCCTTTTCATAATTTTGCTCTGTGTAGCTCTGAGTACAGCTACAAGCTGAGTCTTGTGAGTTCTCCTGGCCAACCAGCAAACTTGACAATTGGTGCCCTGGCTGGCCACAGAGTCAACCACAGCATGAAACAGAAGCTGAGCTCCTGGAACCTGAGAAAACTAACACTTGCTGATGGATTTGAAAATGGGAGATCTAACCCCAGGAGAGGAGGCTAGATTTTTAACCCCTTTCCCACTTGCTAAATTGAGAGGGGTGGGGAGTGCGGTCCCGGTCTCTCCCTTGGGTGTAGTTTTCTCCCCTAGGTGGGAGGGAAAAGGATCCAAACAGTCCCAAAGGTGGGCTTGGGTAGACCAAAAAAATGTAAAAAGTTTGTGTTTCTCTCTCTTCCAAGAGGGTAAAAAAGGATATTCAATTCCCAGGGCTGGAGCAATACTTTAGGTAAGCTAGTAGGGGAAACAGCCTTTCCCTTAGCCCAGCTGCTGCTTTGCCCAGGAAGGGACAGGAGCTGCATTCCAGGTGGGTCTCCCAGGACCTCCTGGGCAGCTACACTGCTAACTCTGTAGACTGAATTTGTTACTAGGGGCTTCAATAAATTTGCAACCAAAAATGGGGGGAATTTTTTAATTTTAAATAGCTTTACATTTTGTGGCTGTTGCATGCGGATGTGTACACTGTCAGTATAAAATATTATATGCTTATAATTTCTTAAATAAGAGAGATACCCTGATCAGGGCAAGTTGCAAATATAGACAGATATTCATGAGACACAACTTCCTTGCTTTTTGTAGCCAGTGGGCCAGGTGGAATTTAAATTCATGAATACTATCAACAGAACGAGTCCCCACACTTAACGATTTTTACTTATTGGAGCCACTGGGGGAAAAGTAGACAACATAAAAAGGCCATTTCTCAATGGAGACACGCTTTTGTAATTTTTTTTTTTTTTTTTTTTTT